TTGTAAACTTTTTTATTTTTTACTTTTAATATTAAAATTATGAAGGGAATATATATATATATATATATATATATATATATATATATATATATATATATATATATATATATATATATATATATATATATATATATATATATATATCAATTGAGTTAATACCAGGATACCTAGTTGTTGATATTATACTGTTTAGCTTAAATAAATGATTGAATAAAAAAGAACTAAACTCATATAGATATTTTATAATTATTAACATTTTGATTTAAACATATGGATCTGGTGTAAAAATTGATGGTTTTACTGAATTATCCATCATTATAAGGTTGACATCAAATCAGCATTTGTAGTGTTATACAAAAGTCTTCAAGGATGTATACTGAGGTTTATTGAAGCCTTGGCTATACGGAAATCGAAACTCCCTTTATGTGTTCAAAAACAATTTGTCCTTACATTTAACCTACCGTGGTAATGCTGATTTATTATCCAAAGTGGTAATCACATTTGTTTTGTGTGCTTTATTATCATTATTATTCTTTCTTTGTTATGACTTACCTTTAACCTGTCTAGATGACCTTTTAATTTTCATATATAAATGTTCTTAACAAGTATATGTGTGATCAAATTGTTCGAAATGTATTGCGCAAATATATCACATAATTCTGATAAACTTCGTTTTCTCATTGCATGATAGAAATTTATCAAAGAGACTAATTGTTTTAAACCCCCATTATTTATTTCCATATTTGTCATAATCGTTGAAGGTATTGAATTTCATTTATAATTATGACAATATGTAAGAGATAAGTTTAAATACTAAAATATTAAATTACATTTAATAAACATATAACTCGAATAATAAACAACAAGGGTCAAAATTGTATAGATTACTATTTTACTGACTATTATGTAACTGTAACAACAGGGAAAAGTAAAACAAAACAAATTTCGTTAAGATATAGGTTTTTGGAAAAACGATTTGACTTAATGTTAGAGTGATATCAGCATGTAGGCGACTGAAAAACCAAGTAACAATTTTCGTTTGTTTTACTGTAGTTTGGCAGTCCTCATCAGTGGACAGTTATAATCGTGACATTGATCAGCTCTAAGATCAGTAGAGTTCAACATTGTAAACAGAAATATAGTGAATATTGGAATAAAGAAGAATTATTTTGTGAAATGACTGACTTTGGAAATGTGGACTTAAGTGTTCTACAGTTATAATTTGTTGTAAGCTCTGCTACCTAGTGTCACCTAGTCTTCAATGGTTCACTAGATGACATCATTTTATGAAAACAATTACTGTCAAACAAATCTTAGTAGTAAATTGTCAGATAACTAGAATCGTCCTAATTATTTATAACGTGATGATGTAGAGAAATAACAAATGTAATATTAAAATTTAAAATCTAGACAAAAGTGTGAATATTTTGCTTGATGAATTATCATACATAAAACAGCTCACTTAATAATTTTGGTTTGGACAAGATGGTTGGGGTAAACTGAGTCCTAACACCGATGGTAATAGCTTAGATCAAGTATGTTTTATGAATAGCAAGAATATGAAAAACGCAATATTCGTTTTTCTCTTTCAGTCTGATGCCCATCGAATTGATAGGCTGCTAAGAAATATTTATCTAAAAAAGCAAAGCTGCTGACTACATGTATAGTTTAGATTATATTACTAATTAAACAGCATTATGATGACGTGGAAATATTTACAAATAAGATAACCACTAGCTGTTTTCATTGTGACTACATTGATTACTCAATAAAATGGGACTAGACATGACAAAAATATCATGAAATCAATGAAAAATATCGTTAAGACGCAGTGGATAAAGATAAAAACAACACATAAATATACTTAATCATGTTATATAAAACAGTTAGACTACAACTTCATGGAGAAACCACGATATATATTGTTATATAATCTGTCCTGTCAAAGACTACACGACCATTACATTGAAAATTGACAGTGAGATTTTATCGTATTTTGAGGAAAATTCAAGCTATAGAATCTTTTAGCTATAAAATTATCTTCTTGTATTATCTTCATACTTTCTTGAAACTCTTGTTCCCTACCTGATTCAGAGAATCTTAAAAATCCTAGATATATAACTGCATGAAAAGTAATGTAGATATATTAATGTTATATTAATGTACATATATTTCCGGTTATGTGTAACTGACACCGCTAGCTGTATTTTATACAAAATTTACCCAAAAATATGGCTGTCAAACAAGATATCTAAGCTGTGTGTTTACAAGTTGGAATAAGTTTTTCATCAGCATTAAAACTACTGTGACGTTCAGTTGACTTTTGTAAAATAATAACGGTTATTTGAAGTGAAATTTTTGAGTAAGAAACGGAAGTATTTATCTGAAAGAGCGAAATACCCTTATCTTTTGATGACTTTATTAAAAGTAGTAGAATGACTAAACAACTGTTGACAAAGCAATATTACATTTTAACAAATTGAAATTATTACTATGATAGAAAAAAGATGTTCATTAGTATAAGAAAATGAAACATTAACTAGTTGATAATAAGTCACTTATTAAAATCATTAATGCGTTTCTAGCACTGATTGTCAAATTTCATTTTCAACTTCTATACAACAAAAATTAGTCATATTATTTTAATGAATAAAAAGGTTTTGATACATCGACTGCTGTATTGACTGTTATTATTTTATCATATACTTTTATGCAATAAAATAGTTTAAACCATGTGACTTTTATTAACTTTCACAATTCATTGATAGTTAAATAGAATGTAAATCATTAGGGAAACAATAAAAATTAGCGTGAATATTTGTAGTTTTATTTCAAAGTGAAATTTTTTGTTAACGGTTACACTTAAGAGAATGTATCATAGTGTTTCATACAATCTACTGACAAATCAATTTATATTAGCAGATTAATAAACAAGTTTCGTAAGAGGAATTTATCATTTTTGATTATTATTATTATTATTAATCATTCAGATAATCCTCCAGTAGGGCATAAATATCCACGATGAACAATAGCCACTTTTAAATGATGTGTGTTTTATTTAATTAACATAGTTAGTGGAATTTATTGTCCAATGTAGCACATATGATCCTATTTAGCTTAATGATGAACCTGAAGATATTCAAAGTTCCTGAGTGATTTATAGTTAAAGCGGTAACAAAAAAGAATATAAAACCCTAGCATTGTTAAAATACGAAGACGTGAATGTCCTATTATATTGATAGTATCAGTATGTACATTTGTAGTTTGCTGTAGTGAAGCTTACATATTATTTATGGATTTAACCGTGTATATAAATAAAAATAAGAGTTTTTCCCAATCCTTTTAATATAAATCCAGCAATGATTTTACAAAGATGTCTTTATAATATGAACACACTTTGGTTTTTATGATCATAATATAATAAAAGTTTAAGAAGAGTATTTAGTGGTATATTTTAACAACGATATATCGTGAAAGAGACAATCTTAAAATATTTCATGATAGATTTTAGTTGTTTTAAGTATCTAGTATATGCAAGCGAAGGGTACAGCATATAATTAAGGCTTTTAGAGTATTATGTACATCTGGTAGGTCATCAGCAGCAGCTTACTTCACCCTTTTATTGAGAGTCAATTGGATCAAACACTTATGACCATATGAGTTTTATCCAGGTAACGCTGCGGTAATATCTTGTGAAAAAAATTTGTCTGATAGTAATTTGACAATAAACAGTTTAGAAAGACACAAATATATTTGAAATCAAATTTCTGCTCTTGCCTCCTATGAATTAAAAAGAACCAGGGTGAGAAATAACTTAGTTGGTATATTAGTAGCCGAATGGGTGATGAACGGGATAGAATCTCCAGAACGGTACTGTAATTAGTTCAACTTTTGATGAGCCATATACTAGATCATGGAAAGGGAAGAATAGAGCTAGAACGTTGAAGAAAATATGCTAACAGAATCACCATGGGGAAAATTTCATTCCGATTTCACACCTAATTAAACGTTATATATAAGATTTTAATATGATCCAAAGGGTATTCTAGGGGCGATATTAAAACAGAAGGATTAACTCCAATTAGAAAGTAAGAAGGAAACTAGGATGTAATTGAGATTAGTAAAGGATAAAAGGTATAATAAGATAAATATTAAGTCATGGTTAAAGAATTCTAACTATCGTTAATGAAAAAAATGACTTAAAACAGTTCTATGTTTTTTAGAAACTTTAACAGCGACGAACAGTTTTTGGAAGACATCAAAAGGCATACTTTTTGGCAGTACTAAGAATTTCATTTAATACGATCATTAATTCACTAGTGTTTTACATTTTTCAGTAACCCGAACAATATTTCATAAGTTGTTTACACTGATGTAGTTTAACTGATAATGTTAAAAAAGACGACTATTATCTATAGTGTTTTAGTGGGTGGGCAACCATCACAAGTGTAGAACGATGGTAAGTATATACAAATCAAAATAATCTAACCTAAGAAAACTCCGCAGATAATACATCTGTATTATTAAGTCACTGAACGAAAAAACTCAGCTATTGATAAATTTATAAAGGCGTCGTGAATTTCATTGTTTTCTATTACGTCGTAGCCATTTTCGACCTTAATTTCCTACAAATTATTCAAATAAATCACTTACTGAAGTGCAAGTCCTAGTTATTACGTTAATCTTAATATGTTTAGAATTCGATGAAAAGTCACGAAAAAAACGGATTCGTTTTCTTCTTGTCCTGCTCAAACTTATGAAACTGGAATCAAATTAAATTTCAGTTTTACTAATTTGACAATAAACTGTATCATTTTAATGATGACTATCATTTGTGTTTATCTGAAATAGGATGAAGGAATAGACTAAAGTATCAATCCCAGATTCGCCGTATTTAGTGAACTTAAAAGATTTACTCGAACAAACAGAATGGACTCTATCTATTACTGGGATGATTAGATATACGCCCTGTATAAACTAAAAAAGACAAATAAACTAACCTGAACTATTTCTGTTGTAAGACGACTTTCGTTTGATCGCTTTCTCTAGACGATTTTCGAAGCATTCTATATCGTCTATACATTGGTTAAGCATATAAAAGTTTCTTCCACCATCATATCCTGTAGAGTCTATTTTCTTTAACAAAGAGAAAAAAAGATAATTTTTTGCTATCCACAAGTAATAAAAAAGGGATTTTATTGGTGAAAACTGTTAAATGCTAAATAAATCGAAATATTTTAAATAATGAAATTAACTCACTATGTCAATGAACAAAAATTAAAGATGATTCAGTGAAGGAAATGTTTTACGTTTCGATGATATTATTTACTCAAGATGCACAGTCCTATTCATAGGTCAAATATCGCAGTAGGGCTATGTATCAATGAAGCAGTTTAATAAAAATGATAAGATGCAGCCTATTGTGTACACTTGACGAATATGAGGAAGATGAAAAATGAATTAAAAATATGAAATTAATACTGATAGTCCTAAAAATATCCTAAATATACAAGGTATTCTTGACTAGCCGGAATACTTTAACATTTGTTGATTTGGTGAAACAGTTTAAACGTTTATATAAAAAGATGAATTAAAATTGTCAATTGTTTATTCATCAGATGTGCTGGTGTTAAGTAGGCCAATAATAACTGGTTGTAAGTCATTGTTTACAGAATTAAAGAAAAGAAAATGAAACAAAAAGTAGTCATTTTATTGTTATTCAGAAAATATACCATATACTTTCATACTAAACATATTTCAAAAATATTACCATTAACTATTTAGTAGATAATTAAAAATTCTGACTAGCCTAGTGATTTACATCCAAAATATTTAATTTAAACAGTTGGGATCATGAGTCAATTGAAGCCAAACCACCATGGAAAACCTGGAAGCACTGGACGGCCGTTTCGTCCTATTGTGGGACTCCTCGGCAGTGCGCATCCACGATCCCGTCCCCCACGAGATTCGAACCCAGGATCTATCAGTCTCACAGCAGGCGCTTAACCAACTAGACCACTGAGCCGGCATCCAACGGTGTTAATGTCTAACTCCAACTAATCCACGAAATTGAGCGACATATCCACCATTGTCGAATCCCGAGAGGCGGGATCGTGGATGCGCACTGCTGAGGAGTCCCATACCAGGACGAAACGGCCGTCCAGTGCTTCCAGGTTTTAAATGGTGGTCTAGCTTCAATTGACTCATGATCTCAACTGTTTAAATTACTACGATCTCCAAAAAACCCCTTCTGATACTAATCAAAATATTTAAGTTATTTTCTAACTGTCATGTCATATTTATCAAGAAAATAATAAGAATGGCCAAAATGTCATTTCGAATGTTATTTTTAGTCAGAGTGGAGAATAAACTCCCGAGACCAATAGTATTATCTTTGGTCAGAGGTTTTCTAGTACATAACTTTTAGACCTTAAGTATTTCAATCTATTCAATACAGTAATATCATAAAGAATAGTTCTAAGTCATCTAGAAGGTTACGCGCAACCCAGGTATGTACAAATTTTTTTTGTTTTGAAAATTGTTGAATTGGCTTATCGGTTTCAGGTTATTAGAAGAACGTTTATAAAGCAGTACTCTTTACAAACTTATATTCTGATCAGCTCATTTTTAGTCTTATGACTACATAGTCAAGTTTGATGAATTGAATACCTATCATTTATACTACTGATGACTTCAATACCCGGCTTGGTATGGTGTGCTCAACTGTTTGAACTACATTTATCTTCAGGTTTATGGAACAATTCGATAAAACTACTCTCTGTCAATTTCGATTACGTGGTCTTTATTTTTGTGAAAGTAGAAGTGATTTGATCATTCCATCCTGATTAACAGATTACTTTTATAACGATACTGATCTTATCTGGGATCCTATTACGAGTGTAAATGATCCTTAGTGGTAAAAAGGAGGCGTAAATGAATCTTAATTTTACTTAAAATCACTCAACGAAATGCTGCAGCATACAAGAAACTTGATGGCATTGTTCCAAAAGCCAACGAGTTATTTTTCAGATTACTACCCTCTGCTGGGTATGATATCATACTAAACAAAACTCATTATATTGAACAAAGCAGTCATTTTTATTGATAAAATACTCGAAGCTTTGTTCATTAGGTATTATTCATAGTGAGTTGATATTTAACGAAAACTATAATAATCAGTCAGTGCTATCATGTGGACGAAGTGGTTGACTTAAACTAAGATAATTGTCATGTGCATATATGTATAATCATTTGCCTGGTCATAAAGACAGATTGTTTATATAATTATAGGGCTAACTTTATTTCTTTAGTTCTGATATATTTAAAGTTTGCCAGTGTAAAACAAACATTAAACAACTCGTACATTACTGGATGTAGTGTAAATAGGTATCTATGAATGTATATACACAAGTACAATTTATATTACAGATAATTCCACGAGAATGTATTATGGAAATAAAAACGTCAGAACTGAATTTTCATAACAAAAACACTGAAGGGTTTTTCACTTGAAATTAATGTAGCAATACTTTTACCTTAGTATTACTGAAATAGTAAATTACGAATATTCAGTCTTCAACATACAGAAAATTAAATAAGGTATAAAATGTTTTACAGTTGAGTTATAAATGTTAATTTGAAATAATTCAGTAGTAATTTTAAGTCTTATATACTATCAATCAAATTTAATGACTGATTTGTTTGATGAACATTGAATTACGAAAAATCTGTATACATTGAAAAAAAAAGATTATAACCTTTCATTTCGAAGAGTAGAACACTAAAATTTACTGGGTTTTTTTTCTTATACATCACATAACAATCAATAGTGATAGTAATGATGAGAAATTTCATGAAAATAGAATAAAACAAAATGGATTGTCCTTGTTAATTTATAATCGATAATATATTAATTAGTGGGTTATTGTAGAGTTAGAAAGTTGATACATGATAAGAATAGTTAATGTGTAAAACAATCGTTCTAATGTACAACTGATTAGGAATTACTATCGGTATAGAGAGGTTTGTGGAAATTGTAGAGTTTTCATGATTTAAATCACGAATTCATAGCGGATTCAACTTAAGTTTTGTTTATAATTATTAGATAGGTCGTTCATTTACATGTTATTATTGAATGTTTATTATGGCTATCTGAGGACTTATTTTGACAATCAAGTTTAAAACTGTAGATAAGATTGGTTGTTGAAAATGTAGAACATATGTGTGTATAACTACATAATCTTCCACTTAAGTAATTATTGATGAATTATGCAAGAGTTCATTGAGTAACCTATTAGTTTACATGTTTTTGACGTACGAATAAATACAAACCAATTGGATGGAAGTTATGTACATCATAGAATCATATATTAAACATAGTGTTTTAAAAGCAGCTATAGCAAAGGGACTTTTTAGTTCGATAAGAAATTCAACCGTACTTATCTTTTTTACTCACATTACACATTGGGTTGTAGATAAGGCTACCACCTCTTGGAAAACTTTGCGTCAAGATCAAACTTAAAAGTAAGCATTTCACTTATTAATTATCCTGAAGAAGTTCAAAAGAAGTAAGGAGGGTAGAAGTCTACTCCAAAAACGGAAAAGTAGTCGATTCGAGCCAACTATCATATAGTTACGTAGTCAACTCCAGAAGTGAGGATTTTTGACATTATTTGACATTTTTTAAAGATGCTCGAAGTTGCCGATAAAAATTCAAGTTCGATAATCTTTATCATAGGAGGTGTTATACCGCTTAAGTCTATGGAAATATTTGAGGTTATACAAGAAGTTTTAGCCCAAGAAACCTGTAAGTGGAGGTGATACGGATTGGATTTATTTGGATTTGTTCAAATAGTGGCTCCTTGTAAAAATACGAAAAATAGTGATTAAATCTTCAGAAGATATTAAACAAAACTACTTTGTTACGATTTTAACTGCCATAACCCTAAATAAGGTTGTTTTCCCATCCCTAACTGCTAGATTTTTTCAGAAGTAAAGCAACAACGAAAGTGAAGACGGAAAGTTCTATATGTTAGAGCTTACAATTTATCAAACAAATCCGGTATAATCGGGTTAAAGTGAAATGTGTCTGGTGTCGGATGTTCCAGACTCATCAAAAACTCATGGCTAGAAAAATGTGGGCGCTCGCTTTGATTTTGGAGTAAACCTACGTTGGTCGACAACTCTTTTACATAGACCATCTTTTAACTATTTGAGTAATGACAGATACACCTTTATAAGGATCTTCATACAATGATTACCGGGTGTTGAATTGATTTATTGTGATCTATAGTGTCGACAAGATTTTATAGTATGGAGATAGCTATATGTTTTTAAAAATGCTAGATTTTTTTAAAGGAGATTCTAAGCGGACACTTATTCGCAGATAAATGTCCATTTTTATTCATGACCTATCAGAAAACAATCGTGATATTTGCTTCATCATACGGTATGAGTTGATATTTTATAATTTCATTATGTTGTAAACTTAAGCTCATACGGGTGACACACGTGATATAACTAGTGAGTACTATACTGAGCATACAGCAAAACTTGCATTTTATTCAGTAACTTTCAGTGCAGACAATCGCTAATTTATTAGTTTTAGAAAGCAAATAATCGAAATAGCAAAAAAAACACCTCTTTTATCAGAAGAGTAGTCAGCAAAAATGCACTCGTATAAATGAAACATAAGACAAATGCTACGAGATCATCAGGTACATACAACTAATATAAGTATGTGCAAAAGATGTTGGATAGCTTTAAGATATTCGTCAAATGAAATAACACGAAAAACCATGAAGCACGACAATTTTAAATGATAAAGAACTGGTCAAATATTTCTTTTCTATTTTATGATTTAGATGTCACTTATTTGATATTAATTTATTATGATGTCAAAGTACTCTTCTGCTAAAAACGATTTTGATAAACTTGTTTAGTAAGATACAACGGATATATACTTTTGTCCGAAACACTATGACTTTTAGAGTATTATTTACCCTTGAGGGTTGTTATCAAAGTTAAAATGATTAAATAGAAGAACAAATGCGTATTTAGCACTTCTTAGGTTCTTGTGAATGGCAGAAAAACTTATAATCATAAAGAGTAAAAACGTCAGTCTTTCACAAAACACCAATCTATAAAGTTGTTAGCAGCTTTCATATGTAATTAAAACATTTTAAAGTTATTGTTTGGCTTCTTGTTGGTATTACCTTCTTAGAATAATTTATAACATCAATCAAATAGTGATACACAATTACCAGACAGAAACATTCATTTCTTACATAACTGCTTTTTATAAAGGTCACAGAAACCCTATCGAAATTTCGTGTGAAAAACTCACTAAAATCTGATTAGTTGCGAACTCACCAAAAGCCTTTCTGCACAAACATAACTCAAGTAACAAATAATCAAAACATCTGTCAAATTAATTGCATCGACTGGAAGGACATTCTATACCTTTTGCCACTACCAGCCTCGAGAATGCTTATAAGATAATAGCGGAATACAAATACTCAAACCGTTTATTGAATATAAGACATGGAGAGATTCAAACATCGGTTCCTATTTAAACTGTAACATTGAAATCCAAAACTTCGGGTGGGGATATAAAAGACGTATAATGAAGTCCGAGATTTGTATTGCTACTGTTGCGAGGAGTATCTTCTGCTAAACACTTTACTGCAATGTACGATAACTGAATGTCAGCCTTCTGGAGCTTTAAAATAAAGGCTGAATAAAGCGTGAAGTATTTCATATATGTTACCCTTTTTTGGTAGTAAAGCATATCTTATTAACGATTATTGTTTATTGATAAGATCAAAGGCGTTTAACCAAAGGTATTGACTTGCAAGTTTTGTCAATGACTATATAGTTCACCACTCATCATTAAGTATGAAATTCATGAGATACCAAATTTCAGAATGTAATCGAAATGCCTCAAGCGCTTTGCTATTTATAAATTAAAAGCTGGGGCTCATGCCAATTTGACTGTCGTAAGTCAATGCCGTCTTTTTAGTAGCAATACGATTTTTACCAAAACGCTTTACAAACCAGCTGTATATGAATACTTAACTAATATCTAAACACATAGACAAAAGAGAGAACGAACAGTAAAATCAAGCTGCTAAATCTCTTCATTAAAAAATAGACAGAGCTAAATTACGAGAGTTAGAAAAACAATTAAATCAAGCAAAACAGCTCGACAATAAAAAATAACGAGGAAACTTGTGGACACCAAATTAGAGAGACCAAAGAATCTAAACCTCGAAATCAGAAATTACACTTAAAAAAGTCAATTTACAGACAACATTGAACATATGAGTTAAAAATTAACGAAAATATAAAAATGCGAACAACTGGTTACAATATTATTTAATTACGAAGAGGAAACAAACTGAGATCAACTCTGAATAGAGGTGAGCGAGAAGGTAAGATCAAGCAATTGTATTATAGGAGTAAGACTAAAATGTGGTTACCAAGGAGAAAAAGGTTAATTCTCTGTTCTTTTTTGTAAAATCATGTAAAGGCTCTTTATTTAAAGTATCCAATTGTATTGAAATATGCTTATAACTGTAATGACGTAATGCTATTTATGGCTGACAATAATTCAGAAAACTAATTTGTTTCCTTTTAAAATGGCAGTGCTATTATTTTATTAATATCCAATAAACGTCTATTTTGTATAAAATTTAAGGTTATTCAAATGTATTTTCTCAAGAGTTTTCAAAATTTATTTATTCAGATTACTTTAAAGAAGTCAGTGTGAAACATTTCAAAATCTAGTATGATTAAACGGGTATAACACAATATTTTTAAACGTAAATATCGGCCGAATTATTGAAATAATGTCAAATTTATTTTGAACTTCTCCCGAATAACCTTTTAAGATAATCTGAAATATATGGAATGAAGCTAAGTTTCGAGACCAAAGTTAGTGAGAAAAAATTTAGGGAGAGGCAGATACAAAAACACATTCGGCCTAGTTTAGCGTGAGAAAAGAAATCGTGCTCGAACTAATCAACTGGTACACCAAATTAGTATACTTCTGTTAAAAATAACCTGATGAAGCTAACCCAAATTGTTTACGATGTATTTCGTGGATGTAATCCTGACGTAGTTTTTGGCATTTCGATGCCACACTGAACAAAAGGCATAAATTGTAACTCTGTAGCCTCCTCGTGTTCTATTGTGTAGTTTAAGGCTGAGACTGATCAGTTTACAAATGAATGGGTTCGTTTGTATAATGTAAAAATATTTACAAACAAATTTACTGGAAATAAACTCACTTCTTCTGACCTGCCGCGACGCAAATTTACTTCAGGACTTCTTGAAGCGTCTCCATTTGAGTTGAGTCCGCTATGGTATAAAATCAATTTGAACTGTATCTTACAGGGCTGAGTTCTTCTGATTATATATCGAGTCAACCAGTAGTTTAGCATCATCTTTCGTTTCGCAACTAAAGACGTGAACTTCAGAATCTTTAAGCTCGAGATCTGCATTATACTGTGAGCACCGAAAAAGTATAAGATATCCATACTGGAATTCATCCGAACGTTTGAAAATTGCTGCTTGGTCGCTTATGGAAGACCATTCGAAAAATTCCACGACCTCCTTGAACATATGTTAGTACGAGGTTTATATATTTACCTCCGAAGAATTTAATTCAATTAAAATTCCTTTCTTATCTAGTCTGACTTTACATGGTGTCTCGTCAATACGACCTCCTCTGTGTAATAAGCTTATATGGTGAACAACACTAGGAGCTGTAAGTTTTTCTTCCCCTTCAATGAAGCTTGCAATGTGGTGTGCTTTGAAGGAGAGCTCTTCTCTATCATTGATAAAAGTTTAACAAGTAATTTATAGATTTCTTTACTTATTAGAATCCCTGTTCCTCATCTCCTTAACAAATCAATTTGCCTCACCTCTCAGATAAAGCAATTAGACTAATAAAACGCAATCACGATGGTCATTCAATTTTGACTAGTAAAAGCAAATAGGCCCTGTTAACATATGATGAGACGATTTCATTGGTTGGAATGACGGTAAAATCGATGGTTTGTCTTGCATTCAGTAACTAATTTGTCAAAATGGTTTTAAGTTCTGAGGGGAAGATCTGGTAGTTTTTCATATCCGAGCTCGTTATCATACAATATGAATGTTATAGTCAGGTCACACGAATTCCTCCTAGATATGTTTACTACAAGTCTGTATAAAACGATTGATTTCGTTCACTCACCTATTAACGTTCCGGTATAGTTCCAGGTGTTTAGTGAAGTTCAGTGGGAGGTGGTTAAGCAACTCAACTGCATTGGTCGTGATCAGTCAAGTAATTTTTTTCGGATCTGTATATCTCATAATCTGATTAAGAGCATCCGTCTCAGGGCAGGAGGGTTTCTGTTACCAGTAGCTATCACAGTACAAGACAGGAAGTTATTTAGTTTTAATGCCGAAAATAATGCGAAAATGAGCGGGTATGTGTTTTTTGAGTCTTTTCTTTAGGCCAGACACTAATGAGCGTTGTGGTTTCTTCAGTTGGCACGGCATTTTGAATTGAGGGCAATCCTATATCAAAAAGTAGGTCTTTACGTAGTTTTACGCCCTCTGTCATGCAAATTTCCTGAGTCTGTTTCAAAAGACGCGATGGTGATATTCTGTTATAACGTTCGTTTTGAGGTGACTTGGCATATTTAGTATGTTGTGTACTATTATTAGGTGATCTCTTATCATTTTTAAGCTCAACCAGAATGATCCAAATTGTCGGAGAGTTTCATGCCTCTTTAAAAGAGCGGGATTGTAACAAAGTTTTATACAGATTGAAATCATGAGTCAGTTGAAGCTAGACCACCATTGAAAACCTGGAAGCACTGGACGGCCGTTTCGTCCTGGTATGGGACTCCTCAGCAGTGCGCATCCACGAACCCGCACCACCCGGGGCTCGAACCCAGGACCTACTGGCTTCGCGCGCGAGCACTTAACCATTAGACCACTGAGCCGGCATCCAACGGTGTTAATGTCTAACTTCAACCAATCCACGAAGTTGCGCTACCGTACACCATTGTCTTCAGTGAGTTCCTATCTCACAACAGACCTGGTTGAACTCCACAGGTAACGACTTCTCACTAGAACTCCAGAAGTGTCTCCTGAAGTCAGTCACTAGTGAGCAGGTGATTATTATTATCAGAATGTGTTTTGTGGAGATTTTTAGAAATTTTCACAGATTGAAATCATGAACCAGGTTTTCAATGGTGGTCTAGCTTCAGCTGACTCATGATTTCAATCTGTGAAAATTTCTAAAAAATCTCCACAAAACACATTCTGATAAAGTTTTATGCGTCAATGTGAGGCCTTCGGTGCTTTTTAAGGAATGTTAGGAACCATTCTGGGGCGACTGTATCAAGTTGTCTTCACATAAAGTGAAGGGCTATATTTACTTTGACTTCATACCCAATGTAATTTGAGTTAGTTTTCAAGCTTCATACGGTTAATAGTCCTAAATCGTGTCCTGATAAAACAATTGAGAGCGGTTTATTATGAAAGACTAAGGTATTTTGTGTCTCGTAGGGCTGAATGCTCATAACACTATATGTCAACAAGCTACGTTTGGACCCATTATCCACCACTCATTTCCCTGTTGTTCTAAAGTCCTTTTAAAGATCAAGGCAATCTTTTTGTTTCTTATAGACCTCCCTGGCATCTTCATGATATCTGAAAGCTAGCGTGCTGACTTTGTGTAAATGGTCATTAATTAGAATCCAGAAGAGGAGTGAACTTAAAAAGGTTTCATGTGAGACCCCTGGAAATGAAACTCATTAGGATGGAAGCACTCTACTTACATTTATGAGGGAACTTTAGGAGCTAGGAGAGAGCTGGCTCAACGAAATCCATTTTCTCAATCTTCCTTGCAAGTGTGTGTGGTGTCGAATCAGAGCCCGTGAACCGTTATCTTTTGATTACAGCAGGTTGTGCAGGTGTCTTATGATATGAGAAGATTGAGTGCACATGGCTCTTCTGAGCCTGTGTTGAGCTCCGTGAGGTTAGTTGTTTTTTCTGTGGATTCCCTCATTTTGCCGACCATTAGTCCTTTCTCCACCCTCCAAAAGGTTGGATCGTTCCTACCGACCCTTAAGAAAATTTTGAAGGTCACCCTGATTACTGAATGCCTCAACGGATTTAATACCGCTGTGGTGGTAGATTCTGTCCGGTTTCATGATTATTGGGCGGACGTTGTGATTTTCCCGAGAATTCTAGTTCATTTTGCACTAGATTACGAGTCAAGTGGATAGTTCGCAGACTGCCTGCGGGCATTAGAGTTGAAGATTATTCAGCATGTGTAGTTTCTTCGTTTAACTAAACAAAGAAGTCGGAACTAGGGATTTCGGTCATTTCCATTTTGTTAAGTTCTTTATCGTTAGGCTTTTTGAAAGTACAATGTTCCTAGTTTATAGGTTTCGGTATGGAAATGAATTTACAGAAATGCTTTGGGTTGGCTTGTATTTTATCCGCTAGCTTGGTCTCCTGACGCTTTTTACTCTGATATTAGATCTATTTCTCCATGTCAAGTTAGAGCTGAGGTCAAAATCCTCTAAGGAAACTTTTCATCGGTGACAAGCTCTCGTTTTTGTATGTAGTGGGACTTCTTTACCTCACTCAAGCCAAAATATTTTCTTTTCACATGTGCTTTCTCCGTTAGATATGTTGTGCACAACAGCCATTAGAATAAAACTTCTCATTGTCTCTCCGTGGTCATTCACTGTTAGCCTTCATTACTTTCGTGGTCACCGATTGTGTTAAGGATGGTTCCTCATGGCCGTGTAGCTTGCCCTAATGTAAGAACTGCAGAGAGCCTTCGCATCCTTCTGAGGTACCTCATTAGTGACCTCGTTAAAAATTATTTTTCCTAGGTCAATATTCCCTAGTAATGCATGGATGTTGGCCTCCTCAGCTAACATTAGGTCATTTGATGGTAGATAGTTTGGTCTTTAATGTTTTCTGTCCGACCTCCATCTTGTGGGATCGCTTACATGTTCAATCATTCCCCAACTTCTAATGAGTATTAAACGTCATTAATGAAACCACCTTGTTGGGTTTGTATAATACGTGGTGAGAGTAAGGGATGGAGTGTTGAAGCCACCTGGTAAGTGCATCTGCTCAAACGTGGTAGTAATATAATATGTATATCAATTACTTGTGTGAGTTATTTTATGTTGGTGGACGGCATATTCCTTCACCCAAGCTATTGCAGATTCTGAAAGATTCTAGCAGCTATGCAACTTAGATTGTAAGCGGTATTGTGGTTTTGAAGTAGTTGTTATTTGTACCGCCATACAGCCTCCGGTTTTGTGATGCCTAATGCATACGAATGGTGTCATTTCATTCACGCTGAGTGCATCACTAATGACGTCAGGGTGAGCTATAATCTTTAAGATGGACTGAAAACAAATTTTTACCTCACCTATTTAATTTTTAAGTTCCCCACATTGCTGCAAAGGCGCTCAGCTCTATGTCATCCTATAGGGTGCTCCCCTATGATAGCTCCCACCTGTTGGGCTATGAAGAAGTTGCAATTTACTGGCACAGTTTTCTTCGGGCTTTTCTTGCAAAAATTTTTTATCGTGTTTAACTACGATATTGGATGACTGTTTAATGGCCGATCACTTGGATTTCAAGAGGGCTTCAGCTGCTATATGTGCAGGATCTGGGCAACTCATGACGGAGAAAGTTTGGTTAAGGTTCTGGTATGGTCACTGTACAAACGGCGCAGTTTTGTAGGGGTACTCGCCTTACTTAGCAGAATGCAGTATTCGCTTCATCATTGATCATAAAAGGCTGGCCTTTTTTCTAGTAAATTACGCTCTACTTGTGGGAAATTGAACGGCACTAAGGAATTTACTCCGTCGCCGTGGGCTGTAGGTGCTATGGAACTATTCCTTCTTCTAACAGCTATCAATTTCTCCTCATCATCAGTATGCTTAGTGGTCGGTGACTTATGGTGGCCATAGTCGCATTTTCGGCTGCTTCTGAATTTGTTATATATGTCAGGATGTGTACGGTTGCTTTTCGAGTTAATAAAGCCTTGGACTTTTTGGGTTGGGTTGGTGTACATATTCTGCAATCCAAGAGCATATAAAAAAACAATCAACTCGGATAACTTAAAGTAAACTATTGGTATTGCTTGTGTGACAGCGGCGATGGGTACGGCAATCACGAAAATCGGATTCGAATGTCAAATCACTGGTTCTAACCAGTGATGAAGAAATAATATAGATATCCTTATCGCATCATTCTCCGAAATCGGCGTTTTCGACCATACGGTTTTAGGACTTTTTTACTCCTATCTTTCTTTTTCAAACCAGTATACCTGGAACTGGGAATCTGTGTCCGAGTGATGCCTTCGGTACTTAATGAGACACTAGGTTTTGGTTCTTAAGTTGTGTGACCATTTTAGTACACGCTACTCTGCGTTACCCATACAGGTTTCATTTTAAGACATATTATGAGATTTTGGTTTAATGTAAGGGTCTTTGAATCAAGATTATTCCCTGCGTTTAGGCTTCAACTAAACGTTTTCAACATGATACCCAATAACCACTCGAGTAAATGCTAAAGGAAGAAATGATAATAATAAGTAATATTAAATAACAACATTTTCATTGTGTCTTGAATGCATTTATTCAATTCAAACTTTCAACTTATTTCTTCATATCTTATAAGTCGAGAAATTATAGATTCAATCTGTCATCGATTTGGCTTTACGGGACGTTTGCTCCCGAAACCTGAAAACCGGAGGTATGCAGTGTAATTAATTATGAAATTATCAAAAAAACATGTGGGTCGATAGTTTTAATCTGCAAAAAATCTTTCAAACCTGAACTGCCGTTTCCTATATGTCTAAACTACGTCGCATATTATGAATGGAAAGTTCAGTTAAGTATTAATAAAAGACGGGAGAGAAATTTGAGAGTAACACGTAGATATTCATATTGATATTAACAGGAAAATAGCAGTTCCTTCCAGAGACGACACATTCCTCATCTACATTTCCAGGGGTTAAACTTCTACTGAGAGATTCACTTGTTGACTTAGAATATGCCGATGACATAGTTCTATTTGGTGAAGACGCTGACAAAATGCAGTCTTCTGACCGCTATAAGCAACAACGCAAACATGTTCGGGATGCGATTCCCCCCTGGAAATGCGAAATGTTGCCTCAGGATTGGGTGACATCGACACCCGAACTAATGATAGGGAGTGAAGTAGTTGAGCGTGTCGACCACTTCACTCATGTTGGGAGTCTCATCAGCCCTTGGGGTCTGGTGTGTGACGAAATCTCAGCACGGGTACAGAAGGCTCGACTTAGCTTTTGCTAACTTGCGTCATTTGTGGCGTAGGCGAGATATCCGTCTACCAACCAAAGGACGAGTTTACTGTGCAGCTGTTCGTTCCGTCCTACTTTATGGCAGTGAAACATGGCCGGTAAGAGTAGGGGATATTTTTAGGTTACTAGTATTCGATCATAGGTGTTTTCGAAACATTGCTCGTATATCCTGGGACCACCGAGTAAGTAATGCCGTTGTTAGGAAACGGGTACTAGGTTAGGATGGAAAATCAATTGATGAAGTAGTGAAACTTCATCAGTTGAGATGTCTGGGGCATGTGTTACGTATGCCCGACCACCGACTGCCCCGACGTACGATTTGTCATGGAGTAGGGGTAGGTTGGAAGAAAGCTAGGGGCGGCCAGACCAAAACATGGCACAAATCCATGAAGTCGCCGACAAGTGAACTGAGCCATGCTGGTAGGTGTAGACTACCTGGTTGGGATTCGCTGAACGATAGCAACCGATGGTTAGAGACCTTGAATGATATAGCTCAAAATCGTTTGCAACGGCGCAGGTGCATCCACCCTTTGTGTTCTCCCAAATTTTAATCTTCTGAATTCTTCATGTACCTTATTTTTTCTCCTTTCAAATTTGTTTCACTGGATTATACTCCTTGACTAACATCTTCATATTACTGCTTATACTTTCACTACCTCTACCACTATGAGATTTGAATCGGTAATTGTACTTTTGTGGTAATGTATGGCAACTAGAACTGATCTACGTACGTACGAAGTTCTACGTTGTTACTGATTGACTGATGGTAACAATACTCGTATCTAGAATATAGCTGCAATAATATAATTACTAAACAGACAATTTTAGATTTAAATATATAGTATAAGTATAATTCACTAGACTTATTTGACGCATATAGTTTCAAATCTAAACATTAGCATACAAACACAACTACATTACGAAATAAATGTTTGAGTACTCAGCTTTGAGTCAGATAGTATTTGTAGGTTACTTATAGATCAAAAATAACTTACCAGAGTCTGAACCTTCAACGACAGTCTCATTTCCTCGACGAGGGGCGGGAGCTTTTTCAGATCCATAGTACCCTACTGATACTTTCCCCACTCGTTGGACAGCTTGAACTGGAGTAACAATACCCCGACCGTCAGAACCAAGACCCTTGCCCGGTTCGTAACCCATCTGCTCTAAAAGTTTCATTCCAATACCCTTTGTGTGCCTTTCCCAAGCACCGAAACCAGAGGTCGCAGACTTCGCCGCTGCAGCGGCTGCTGCTACACGTCGACTGGCCCCAACGGATATGCTCACAGGCTTGTCAGGTTTACGATAAATATCTGAATTTGGTGAGTCAGAGTCTGAATCATGACAAGGACGCAAACTCCTTAGGACAGATTTGTCGTCTTCATCATCCGAAATCTGGTCGACTTCTTCGTTATTTTCTTTCGGACCAGACGAAGCACCGGCACCTGCCTACAATGACAGAAAATACTTAGGACCTTCGAAAACACATTTTTACATGACAAACGAGACTTGCAAATTAGTTGAATAAATGAACGAAACAAACATGAGACACAACAAATGCATGTTCTAGACAGCTATTATGCACAAAAAATAATTGGCACATCTTCCGTACGACTGAACGACTTAATCATTTTGACAGTGAAGGTTTACTGCCAAAATATTAGCTAAACAATCGGTATATCTATCCCAGGCATCTTTACTGGAGCCTAATGAGTTCATACAACTTGAAATAATAAGAAGCAAAAAGGTGATTTATAACTAAGCGGCAATGTAACTATTACAACCTCTCAGATGATCGCAACACTTAAGAGTCTATTCACAACATAGAATTGGGAACACTGAATTGTTAGCTCGTCGATGAATCTCACTATTTGTCACCTAGCCTTCCTTAACATAAATATACCCTACCTTCACTCCACCACTGACAAAGGTGATCGGTGCTGAATAATTGGCACCCTTACGCTTGAAACCAGCTTCACGTCCACCGAAGCCACTTCTTTCAGGCTCTGAATCAGAATCATCTGAGGCGAAAATCCCGTATATTGTTTGCTTCTTTGATTGGTTGTGACGTCGTTTTAAAGGATCCATCATGAACGAATATTCCACATCAGACAAACCAAACCTCTCCATCTCTGGTGACGACCCCATAACTCCAATAAATCCGATGACTTCAAAACGCTGCGCCCGCCAGTTCGATTGTACAACATTCAATTTCAGTTCAAATCACTATCACTAGTGATGTAGGTCAAACGGTTAATAACAACAATGTCTGGTTCAATCTTGTCCCTAATATGTCTATGCAGAACGTGGAGTGAAATCCTAAGTGAAGACATTTATTCATTTACTCTTCAATGTAGGATTTCACTTCAAAACGGTTAATACGTGTAAAAATATAAGGATCCTTCTGCAAAATAAAAAGCCGACAACTGCATACACATATGCATAAATTGAGTAAAAAAACTACTCGGAATTAAATAAAGCATTTTTGGTGCGATAAAAACCTGTACAGCTCTCTGTTGAAACATATTTAGAGATACAAGTTATTGAATAGGTCTGACCTTACATCCGTCATATAGTATATTTGCTAGATAAGATGTCACGGAGCTTTCATGCCCCTTTTGCGCGCATGTATTCTGGTGTATTCGCACCTCACTCTGTCAGAAGACATACGAGAGAGATATGAGTGAAGTAGATGGTTAGTAAGTCCTAACACTTGTCAAGTGTTTGTAAAATTTTAGATGTCTATCCGCAACCATATTATTAATGACGTCAAAAGATTCACCACACGCTCTGTTATCTACCTTCAGGACTTCCGGCCAACACGGTAAAATCATTTCTCCAAAGTGACGTGGAACAGCAATAAATAATAAATCATGTGCAAGAATTTACAAATCGTATTAGTAAATGTCATATAATGCGGATTTCATGTAGCATGTAATAATCTGGTTATGAAACATTTTGTATTTCATTGGTTCGTTGGTCAATTTATGCATTCCCGTTAAAAACCTTTGATTGTCATTAATTCCGCAACTGCAAATTCCGGACATTCACATTTTCAGTTTTACGTGTCGGGCTGTGATTCGCAACGTGTACAAAGCTGGGTTGTAAGCCTTAGAAGACGCACAGAATAACTTGCACTTAATTGTTTCTTATTTTTTCCATGTAGATTCGAATTTTTAGGGCCAAAAGAACATTAAGTAAACATCTACAATACGTCATATGTCCGTTGTCTTGAGTTATTTAGAGGTCGTTTGTGCTTGTAGGTTCATCCACATGTCACTGATAAATGTTAAATCGTAATTATCGTAGTGTATTAGAATATAGTCCTATAATTTGGGAGCCATCTGCATAGGAAAAACATTTACTATTATTCACAAACGGCTTATTGGTATATAGGTTGTTTTGTTTGTGTTTGTAGAGTTTACTACGACAACGATCGGCCACTTGTATTGATGCTGAATATCCTCTGGTGTTAAGTGACGTCGGCATACAATATATTGGATAGATATCTTGCAAAAATCTTGAGGTAGGTTTTCACGAATTAGAGTGCCATATTGTTGATCTATCAGTATAATTTGACATTTGCTTACGAGGCCTTTATTGGAAACAGTAAATGACGACCATCAAGATGAAACACTAGATGAGTAGTTTCCTAGTTTCGTGGTACTGGTGAACCAGGAAATGATGTAAACCCCTGCAACAATAAATGGTATTATAGCTAGTACTAGTGATATGAATGTGCTGTTTCAAGATAGCTCTATCCATTTACGAATTCTGCGATAAAATCTACCACTTATACTGTAGTATGGAATAACCTTTTGTAGCGTAAAACACTGACTGGTTTCTGCTATTCAGGCACTTGTTTCCTTTTACCCAGTGGGTTGACATCTGTTTCACCTATTTTGTATGTGCACTAATCCTGTCACTCTACAATCACAGCATGCTAAAAGAACGGTTGCGGCTGATAGCTTTCTCAAAGAAAGCATTGGGAGTTGAAACTATAGCAATTATTTCTGCAAACCTGTAAAAGATTTGTACTTACTCTATTGAATCTAAGAATAAATGAGTTATTTGATCAATATATTTGGCTGAACATTCCACCAGCTTTCGTCGAAATGACCGAAATTCCAGTGATTGATTGAAACTTGTAGCTAACGAACAAAATTTTGTCCGGTTAAATCAAATGACATTCTTCTGTATGGTACACGCAGTGTTTCTGAGTGACTCGTACTAAATTATATCAAAACGTAAACGCTAAGCTTAATTTAATTCATACCTATTAAAGAAAAAAACAAACAAATTATATCAAAATTACAAGATACCTCAAACTGTTCAAGTTTAATCTAGAAGAAATAGCGTGCTAATTAGCAAGGAGAATGGTCAATAAGTAAGTGTTTGGTACCTGGGAATCTGTAGTCCTAAAAAGATGGTATCAACAAATCGTCTCCAAAGGTATGCAGCATGCAATCAAAGGTCAACGATCATTAACCGGACCATGCCGTGACCCTGAGATTAGTCAAACACATCCTTGTTGTCACTAGCTTGACGACAAGCAACAGAAAAATTAAATGAGAAGGGTAAATCTCAAGCAAAGTGAAATAATAAAAGCCTAAACAGAGGAGATAGAAGAACATCAAATGTGGTTACAAAATACGAGACAGTACTAAGGAACTAAGAAATAACAATATTGCCCAAAAAACATTAAAGAAATTTCCAACGCATCCCTACTGTCAAATTTCTACAATCCTAACATCAATAAGAACTTGATTCAAAGTATTAATAAATGGTTAACCGACACTAGCATCTTTCATTTCTCAGATTTTTGCAGAAAGTTGTTGTTACAGTTTTGTTGTAGCTCCGGCTTACATGTTTCTGTACCTAATAAGGTTACCATTTATATAAGATCCTTGGTTCTTTAATTCGTAGATTTTTTGTTATAATATTGAAACCGCGCATAGTTTGTCAGATACTTTCTATAGCATGAATGATTATGGATCGATGTGTTCTCTTTTACGGTTTTTGTCTCCATTGTGTAATATCCCAACAAACTTCAATCTTCAAGATTCATTTCATGGTAACGGTAAATTACTCATTCACTCCTTGACTAATCTCTTGCGAGCTATACTGGTTATCAAAATGAGCAGACGAAAATGACATGATCATAGTATACGTTCCGGTTCCTAGTATTTACGTTTTACCTTCGGACGTCAAAATAGGCAAGCACCCACTGTCCATATTACACAATATTGTTCAGCAATGGTTCCTTTTCCACTAAATCAATCCAATTCAGTGAACTTCGACCAATCATTGTTCTTACGAAGATACTTCTTAAGTAGCAGCATTATATGAATCACTCAGAGAATTTATGGTAGATTACCAATGTAGATTGTGTAAACGGCTGCAAACTAAAGAAATTGCATTTGCTGAAACGTAGGGAGTAGACTGGGTATATTCTAAGTAAGAAAATAAATGAGTAATTAAGCGGGTAGCAAAATCGTAACGTGTGTGGCTGAAGTCGAATGCTCTATTAAACAGTGAGGCGGGAATGTGAGTAATTAGTGTCCTATTATAGACCCTAGTTGACTATGGTTGATGGTGAGTTATGGTATTGAACTGTAGTTACTAATTGATTTCATACATTGTAACTAGGCTAAGCCCAAAATCCAGCGTTGGTGATAAAATCGAAGTGCGAGGACTTGTTACAACCATTCATATGTGGAAAGACAAATCATGAATACTAATGGGATATGTGCACATGGGAGAAGTATTTATCAGCCTACTGAACCTTATTAAGCGCGATTCATATTAAGAAGCACGGAACACAAGGAGTAGTTAAAATGTGTAATGACACATAGACAGTCAGACACATATGAAAAAAACATGGTAAACTAGTAAATAACTACACTTATCTATGCAATATATGCTTGCAAAAGACACATGAAGATATACACGAATAAGCGTTAACAGTTCATCCTCCAGATGCATATAAAATAATCGAACTTTCACTGACTCATCTATCATTTGATTTACCTTATAATTTTTCAATGTTCTTCAAATAAGACGGAATTTACGTGGGCGTTAAAAAAATAATTACAGGACGTCCTCAGCCAAACGTCCTCACTCAGCCAACAGAAATCAATGTAAACTAATATTCACCGTTATTTAACAGTGATCAGCCCCAATTTAGAGGTACGATCGGTGTGACTGATAGTTTTTCTACAGTTCGGTTCTGTTTCACAGAATTCATTTAAGGCAAAAAATTTACACTATATGATCATCCCTTTGGACACTATATGATGAAGAGATTACGAAACATCAGAGCTCGTTCAGATTTGTCTGACTGATTAACAATGATGAGCGAAGTAGCACTAGATTTCATACCTCACCACTCCTCCTTTTGTTGTTTATCGACAACTGAGGCTATTTTCTGGATTATGAAACTGTGATACGCGGTTAGCACTAATGTTCGATGTTCGACACAAGACCCTTCGGACATCCCGACTCTTCAAGTGAACATGAACGGGATAATAACTAGACCATCAGAAACGTTCTCCATGTTGATGGCATAAACGTAGAATCTCAATGCTGAACAGTGGCAGTACATAGATTTCATATCATCTGGGTAATTCACCGACACACTTTCTATTATAGGAGGGGACACACTCCATGTGATACAAATTGTGTCGCCTGTCATTAAAATTCCGTAGCCAATGATTTATCTGGAATAATGAGATCTCTGCCCATGACGGTAACTGGCCTGACCTCCGAACTATTCATGACCACGTCGATCATACTTATTCCGCTCACCATTCAAAAGGTATAATAACGATGAGGGTAAAACCTTTCAGGTAACTACTTTAAATTCTAGCTTTCGCTTGTTCTCATTTTTACCGTATGCTAGAAGAAAAATTTGTGCAAGGGCCCAGAAAACGCATTCTGAAACATTTATCCCCAATTTCTATCCAATTTTCAAAAGTTTCGAATAGTTGTAAACGAAATATGAGATTTCGCTCAGAGAGCTTTCCTGTCTGTCAACGGCGCATCATCGATTTCGTTGGACAAAGGCCTGGGTTCATGAAATAATATATCAGACCTCAGGAAGTACCAAACCTCCTTTTTCAATAGGTGTGCTCACGTTGTCATTTATT